TTGTTTTTCTCTTGGCTTTGGGGTTTCATATAAATACCCCCTTACCTCAGTTCTTTGATTAAGCAAGGAAATGTTTTAAACAAGTTTAAAGAGTTTTAAACAAGGGTTTAAGTGTTGTTTATGTTTGTTTAAGAAGCTTTTGAGCATTTGAGAGTTTTGGGTTTGTGAAATCAATTTCATAAGAGCTTGAGGAGATCCTATTGGTGCTTGAGCATCCAACCATCCTCCTTCAATCTCTTGATCTATTGAGAAGTTTTCTAAACTCTATTTCTAGCTCTTTTATATATTTGATTATCATTGTTATTAAGCTAGAACTACATTGAGTTTAGTTTTGATTTATATCTCATTGTTACACACACCCACTTGAGCTTATTGTATTTTCATACATAGTATATTAGGGTTGTGAGAGATTGTAACATTGAGTTATGCTTAATTGAGTTCTCATCTATTGTAGAGAACAAATTTATATTTGTTACATTATGAGTGTTGTAAGGTTTTCGGTGAGCTAGAAAACCGAGTGTGTTGTGAAGTTTTCGGTGAACTAGAAAACCGATTGTGAGGAGTGACGTTGATCGGTGAGCATTGAAAACCGACACTGTGAGGTGTAAACGTTATTCGAGTGAGCGTAGAAAACCCGGTTGTGATAGTGGATTTCTCCCCGGGAGTGGGGAGCGGAGACGTAGGACGGAAGGTCCGAACTCCGTGATCATATAGTGTGTTAGAGTTTGTCTTTGGCGCAATTGCTTATGCATTCATCTTATATCGCCAATTGCTTATCTTTGCCCTATCACATTTGTAGTTAGATTGTTTACCCTTGTGTTAGTTTATATATCATTGCATATCTTTATCATATAGGATATATCTCATTATTCATATTGCTTATCCTAGCTCATATCTCTTGTTGTATTTCATACTTGCTAGGATAACTTGTTAATTAGTTTTAATTGGCATAAAATCAGATTAGATTAGCATAAGACCCTAATCACCCCCCTCTAGGGTCTAACACCCCCATTATTTCATGTATCATTAGTAATACTCACATTGATAAGGCGTTTTTAGACTTAGGGGCCAGTGTCAATTTGCTTCCATATTCAGTCTATCAGCAATTGGGTCTAGGTGTACTGAACCCAACCAAATGCACCTTACAGTTGGCTGATAGATCTGTTAAGGTCCCTATGGGTGAGTTAGAGGATGTTCTGATTAAGGTTGGAGATTTTTTTTCCAGTAGATTTTGTAGTCTTGGAAACACAGCCTATTTCCAATCCCAAAGGACAGACACCTGTCATCTTAGGACGACCTTTCTTAGCCACTTCTAATGCTGTCATCAACTATAGAACTGGTCAAATAAAGCTGTCCTTTGGGAATTTGACTGCTGATCTTAACATTTTTAATCCGGGGGACCAGCCAAATAATCAGCCTCTAAAAATAAATTATATCCATGAAAGATCAGAAGAAGAAGAAGAAGAAGAAGAGTCTGATTTGAGTTTTGAGGAAATTTTTGATGAAGAGTTAGAGTTTTTAGAAGAAGCAGATCAGGTCCTTGAGAATAATGAAACTGTGTTAAACATTTGCTGCTTTGAATTAAATTTTGAAGAACTCTTTCTTAATGAACTTAGATTCTTGGAGAATAATCAACAACCAAATTTTCAGAACTCTACAGAAGAATTGGTTGTTAGAAAATAAAACTTCACAGTACAAGAGTCTGAGTTCATTAAGAAATACAAAATGCATGACACCAATAATACCTACCTTACTTTGTTGCAAGAATTATTGAACACCCCGAAATGCTTGGAATTTCACATTATTGATCATATCATTCTGAATTTATTTAAAATACGGGGAAGAATTTTCAACAATAAGGTAGGATTCAATGTAGAATACGAGCTCTTCGTGTTGAACACTTCATTCTACATTATCTGTTTTGTTTATTTCAGAATAATAAAAAGTATTTATTCTTCTCTCATTCAAGAGTTTCTTATTCAGTTAAAAAAAGAAAAAAAAGAGAAAAAAAAACAACAGAAAAAAAGAAAAAAAAAGAAGAGAATAATAAATTTTTGATTCCATCCTCCTCAGACCAAAGGTAATTGCAGATTTTCATCAGCCGACCAATTATAAGTACTTCACTTTTTATCTGCTTTACTTTGTAAATTATAGAGTTTGCATTGAGGACAATGCAAAATTTTGGTGTGCGGGTGGGAATTAGTTTTTTTCTCTCTTTATTTTACATTTTTAGTTGCATTTTTGTCAATTTTTTTTCTTTTCCTAAAAAAAGAAAAATTATAAAAATATCGTCACTTGCCAAGTTGATAAAGTTATGTAATAATTGATTTATTTGATAAATTTTAAATTTTCTAATCTGTTATTTACTCAAGTTCACCTTTTATGATAACTCTAAATAAAGTTCTTAAGAAATGATTTTCAAAGTAGTATACTTTACTTAAGCCTTAACTTTGATCTTTATTTAAAATAATGGAATGCATGCTTAGCTTAGAGTTAAAAATAATTTTTCAAAGTGGCTTGACTTACATATTTTTTAGAATATATATACATAAAAAATTACAAAAGAAGAGTGCGAAAAATGGGCACAAAAAAAACTCTTAAATTCAAGGTGATTCTATCTTATAAAGCCTAAGTTGACCGAGTAATTAAGCCCAATGAGTATTTTTATACTTAATAACCTAAGCCCAATTGGGTTGGGATTCATTAACCTAAAACTCGTTAAATGGTTGCTTAGAAAGCCCGTTAAAGTAGAAAAAATCACCAAGGAAGAAAGAGTTAAAAAATAATAATAATAATAAAATAAAAATACTAATAAATGTTTTATATATATAGTTATATTTGTATATATGGTCTTGGAAAATATTTTAGATCAAACAACTTGAATATTATTTTAAACAAAGAGTTAGCATGTTATTTTCAAAACTTTTAAATTAAATTTCTAAGCTTGGCTTGGTTTTGTATTGCTATAATGAGAAGATTTTCTAGGAAATTTACCTTAGAGTTATATATAAAAACGTTTTCTTGAGTGATAACTAGCTTCAATTAGATTGTCTAAAGTTATCAAGTAAATTTAGTTATTTACTAACTTCATTAATTTTTGGCAAGATGACCGAATTTTTGTGGGTATATTCACTACAAACCCTCACGAGACTACAACTCGTCCACTAGGGTAACCTAAGGGTTTAAAGGCTTGTTGTATGCGCTAAAATACACGCGCGATTCCTGCGAAAGTGAGTTAGGATTTTCTTTCTTTCTTTGCTAAGAGACTAGCAAAAGTTTAGGTGTCGGGGTATTTGATAATCATATTTTATTACAATTTTATACCCTCATTATCTATTTTTATGAATAAATATACCAGCTAATAATTATTTTTATCTTTAATTGCAGGTTAATTAAAAAATAAAAAGCCCAATATCTCTTCTCTCAACAAAGCCCATGAATTAATGAAGAATATATGCAAATACATGAAAGAGCCCAAGCCCAAGTCCGCAAGCCCAAAGCCAAAGCCAAAGCCAAATAAAAGAGAAAATCAGCGAATTGCAAAAGGAGGGATATGGGTATCGATGCCAGCATCGATGCCAGCATCGATGCTGGTATCGATACCTACGTCGTTCTGTTACAGATCAAAGGCTAAAATTTGCTTGTTTTGGATAAGATTTCAATCCAAGGGCTCTCATTCACTGATGTTTACTATAAATAGGGGTAGAGAGTGAGGGGTTAGAAGGGTGAAAATTTTTGTAACTCCTTTTAGAGAGGAGGGCTACGCTTAATTGAGAAGGTCTTCCAAATTTGTAACTTTTTGTTACAATTAATAATAATAATTTTTTCACCACTTTAAATATTTCTTCTCTTTGTTGTATGATAAAGATGGAGATGAAAAATTATTTAGAGGTTTGCATTTCTTTTCTTTTTCTCTTTTATTTCTTTTTATTGCTTATTAGTTTAGATTTTATTTCTATGCTTATAGTTAGATTTTATTTTCTTGTTAAATAGCCAAGAGGCTAGAACCCTCTTGCCTTAGATTTATTTCATGCTTATAGAGTAGATTGATTTTCTTGCATTTAATTCTTGTAATTTATTTTGTAGTTTAGATTTTGTAATTTATTTTGTAGTTAGATTTTAATTTCTTACACTATTCACCTTGAGGCTAGAACCCTCTTGGGTTTAGTTTTTTTTTTTTTCAGTTTCTTTGATTCGCCTTTAGGCTAGAACCCTCTAGGGAATCACCTTTTTCTAAGAAGTGGATTCAATTCTAGATTACCCATATCTTTAATTGAATCCGTCATCTTTACTTTCTTGAATTTTATTTTTATTATTGATTTTCATTTGTTTCTCGATTTTATTCATTCTTCTTTCTCGTCTTATTGATCACATTTATTTTTACTCACATCCACTCTCAAATACATTGATCTACACACTATCACTCTCATTATCTCTCCACAATCACATTCACTCATCACTCCTATTTATCACGCACACAACATAAGAACCAATTTTATAATTTCTCCTACAAAACACCTTCCTCGTGGGATCGATAACTCTTTATACTATAACTTGATTAGTTGTGCACTTGCAACTTTTTGGTATATGTTTATGCCGAATCATCGTCTCAACCAAATGTAAGATTCGTAACATTCGTGCCTTTCTTATCCAATTGTTGAAGGACTCAGCAACGTTCGAAGTAACATGGCCATACCTGTAAATCACATGAAAACATAACAACTAAGAAGTAACCTTAACAACCAAAAACTAACCTTAACAACGAAACCGTAAACTTAACAACAAAACTCTAACCTTAACAACGAAATGGTATACTTAACAACAAAACTCTAACCTTAACAACCAAAACCTAACATTAACAATAAATCTTTAGACCTAGTAACATAACAATAACCTTAACAACAAAATTGTACCCTTAATAATGAAAACCTAACCTTAATAACAAATATGTTGACTTACTGTAACCTTAACAACTAAAATGTAGCCTTAATAAATAAAGTTTAAACAATGTTATCATACATTATACAAGGGAAATAAGCGTTTGTCCATCTCTCCGGGGAGTATTCCATTGCAGTAACATAAGCCCTTTGATCGATCGATGCCAATTCTTGCATGTAATCATCCCATTTAGAAATTGTGTACTTGTAAGCCGCGATTTGTAATAAATCACCCAAAATTTGAGCGACATTTGCCTTGTGACCCAAATCCTTCATCTTTTTTTTTTGAAATTCTCGACTAGATGCAGAACACACATTCAATGTAAAACATCTGGAAAGAATTCCTCGATTGCTACCCTAATACCCTTGTCGGCATTAGAAATCATTACCAGTTGATGTGGAGGATTTTAAGGCTTTTCCCTATCATATAGTATCGTCCACACTCCTTGTAAGAACCATTTCCAGTTATTCTCATGGTCAAATACACAATAAGCCAGAGAAAATATTCCTTGGTTGCTGTCATATCCCGTGACACTAAGTAGTATACCTCTGTAGCGGTCTTTAAGAAATGTTCCATCCAAAACAAGAGAGGCCTACACCTAACAATGAACCCTTCAATACAGGCATTATAACTTATGAACAAACGCCTAAACCTTTCGTCATTAGCATCAATAGCAACACGACTTCCTGGATTAGTTGCTTGAACCATGGCTTCATACCTGCATAAATATAACAACAAAACAGTAACCTTAGCAGCCGATTCATAACCTTCACAACAAACTCATAAACGTAATAGCCAACACATAACATTAACAACCAACTCGTATACTTAACAACCAACCGATAACCTTAACAACCAACACATATACTTAACAATCAATCGATAACCTTAACAATCAAGCCATATACTTAACAACCTACGCATAACATTAATAACCAAAGCATAAGGTCAGCAACCAATACATAACCTCAAAAACTAAAACATAAGGTTAGCAACCAATACATAACCTTCACAAGTAAAACATAAGGATGAAAGAATGTACCATCTTAGTGAATCATAAGCCTCATCATCGTCACCGTATAGTTCCTGTTTTGCTCTCTCTTTGCTTTTCCATGTTTTACAGTAGTTAATCTTGATGCCATAGTATGAGAACAAGTTATTCTTGATATCAATTGGACGAAGATCTGGCCTAACCTTCAAAACAGATTATATTTGGCTTGCGATGAATTTTCGTGATGCCCTTGAGTTGCCAGCATTAGCTCCATGTTGACCGCAAGTGTGGGTAGAACAGAAATTCTTTATATTAAGGAATTACAACCAGTCTAGATGAGACGAGACCAGACCAGACGACACGAGACGAGACGACACCCCTTATTTCAACACGAAAAGTGGTCGTAGTCTACACGCCCTACGGTGTCAGTCGACACGCTCTGACGAGACCAAACGAGATGAGTCCAGACGAGACGACACCCCTTGTGTTGACACGAAAGGCAGTCTTAGTCGATACGCCCTACGGTGTCAGTCGACACGCTCTGACGAGACCAAATAAGACGAGTCCAGACGAGACAACACCCCTTATGTCGACACGAAAGGCGGTCTTAGTTGACACGTCCTACGGTGTCAGTCGACACGCTCTGACGACAACAAACCAGATGAGACGAGACTAAACGAGACGAGATGAGACGAGATAAGACCAGACAAGACGACACCCTTTGAGTCGACACGAAAGGCGGTCTTAGTTGACACGTCCTGCGCTGTCAGTCGACACCGCACTGTGATTCTTTCCTATTGTATGATATTCTATTAATATCTCGATAGCTCACTTACCCCTTTTAGTTCCAACAATTATGTAACTAATCAAGTAGTTTTAGATTTTATGTAACTAATTGATTCTCTTGTAATCCTACAAATATCTTCTAATGTCAATGAAAAAGGCTATGCTATTATTCAGCAATTTCAATACTTTTACATGGTATCAGAGCCGTTCTAGATCTCCCATTCTAGACCTCCTCCCACCACTCCTTTGCAAACCCTAGCCGCAGTCTTCACTATGACAACTGGTTCTCAGATCACTATCATCCCCAACCTAGAAAATCCAACCCAAAACCTTCAACTCATCAACACTTCCCATCAATCCATCCATAAATTGTCCTCCACAAATTATATTGCTTGGAAACTCCAGATTGAGGCCATTCTCATTAGTTATGACCTCTACAAATACATAGATGGATCTCATCCATGTCCTCCTTGCACCATCACGACCAACAACGTTGAAGCTCCCAACCCAGATTTTCTGCATTGGACTCGACAAGATAAACTGCTGTTTGGCACCCTTGTCGGTTCCATTTCCCCTCTCTCATCCCTCTCATCCAACAAGCGGCCACCTCCCGTGAAGCATGGCAGACTCTTGCCAACACCTATGCTAACCCAACACGTGGTCACATCAAGCAAATCAAGGACCAGATCAAGCGAGCCACGAAGGGATCACAATCCGTTTTGGATTATATGCAATATGTCAAATGCTGAACAGATCGTCTCGCTACACTCGGCAAACCAATGGACCATGAGGACATCATTGAGAAAATCTTAGAAGGTCTCGATGATGACTATAGCCAAATCGCTGATATAGTGGAAGGCAGGGACAACCCCATCTCGTTTGACGAGATTCATGAGAAACTCATCAATAGGGAACTCACGCTTCAACAGTCGCAATCCGTCTCAACCCCGCACCCCGCTGTAGGCACTAAAAATGGTAAGAAATGAAGGAGGGTCGAAACTCACTACAAGCACGACGAGGGTCGTCACAATGGTGAACCTCAGCCTCAATTCATGAAGTTTGTCTTAGCTAAATAGGACAAACAACACCACACCCCTCAGAAGACAAACTTCATCATTGAAGACGAAATTCACCCAAAGACGAACTTCGTCTGTAGGCACTCAAAAAATTGCCAATAGGCAGACGAGGGTTGCAACTCATTATAACAGACCTCGTTAGCCAAGACGAACGTCAAAGTTTAGTTGAAATTTAGATTTGAACTCATAGAAAGGCGAGACTCGACAAGACCACGAGCTCCGACTCGATAAGGAAACAAAGCTGGCTGACATCGCCTTTCGGGTCGACATGAAGAAACATCGAATTGTCTGGTTGACTGGGTCGAGTGGACTCTCGGCGAGTCATCTTCGATAGGAGGGGACGATTAACACCACCTTTCGAGTCAACATAGGGGGTCGTCTCGTCCGATCGGTCGAGATGTCTACTTATGTCAGACTTCAAGCTGATTAACACTGCCTTTCGAGTCAGCACAGAGGGTTGTCTCATCTGGTTGGTCAAGATGTCTACTTATCTCGGACTTCGAATCAATCATCACCTCCTTTCGAGTCGACATGGAGGAGGTCTCGCCCCGGACTTCGAGTCGATTATCACCGCCTTTCGAGTCGACATGGAGGAGTTCTCGTCCCAGACTTCAAGCGATTATCACCGCCTTTCGAGTTGACACAGGGGGTCGTCTCGTCTCGAACTTCGAATCAATCATCACCGCCTTTTGAGTCGACACAGGAGGTCATCTCGTCTCGGACTACGAGCCGATGATCACCACCTTTTGAGTCGACACAAGGGGTTATCTCGTCTCGAACTTTGAATCAATCATCACCGCCTTTCGAGCAGGCACATGGACGTCACAGCAGCGAAGCTCGACATCGAAGTCAAAGCTCGCCAATACAGCGAGGTTCGATATCAAAGACGAGGTTCACCAACACAGTGAGGTTCGACATCAAAGACGAGGTTCACCAATACAATGAAGCTCGTCACTCACTTCAAATTAGGCTGTAACGGTCCCAAAGACCATGACAGCCACGTGAGCTAAGTGGTAGGCGTCGGTTACGTCGACAGCTGCATCAGTTATGCCCACGTTCCCATAAGTTTAGCACATCAGTTACGTGCTAAACTCCTATAAATAGCCTCGAGCAACTATTAGGGAGGGGGGAACTAGGACTTTTGGGAATTTTTGGAGGGGTAAACTACGCGCACAAGAGCATTCAAAGATCTACAACACCTATCTAAGCTCTTCAGCAATTTTGTTCTGATCGTCAATGGGAAGCAATCTCAGCACGAGCATCGAGGGAAGCGTTCTTTTGCCACCAAGAACCCACATTAAATTAAAGAGAAGTCGAATCAAAACTTCTCTTCCTCTGTAATTGAGAGAGAGTGATTGTAATAGATTCGTACCGAACGATCGAATCTTAATTCTTCAAATTAAAGAAATCAATCAAACTTTTTCAACCCTATAGAAGATGCGACCACAATGGGAAAAGTCATTCTTTCCGACGAACTGGTGGTGGTGCAGTCAGACAAGATTGCAATGGGAACCGAGGTTGAAACTCTAGTCATAGAGTTCGACCAGATGAAGTATGAGGAGTTTCTCTCCTTTGGTAAGTCCAGTCCCACGAAGGCATGAAAGTGCCGTCGAGTCTCTTATAAGACTTTAGCCTATGTGGCTTCAGATGATTCAACTCGAGTTAACCTCGAGGAAAAGTCCTTGCCTCTAAAAAATGAGGCTCTAGCAACTAGCCATTCGACTAAGAAATGGGTTTTCAAGCAACCTAGCCGAACTTCAGCTTCTACTAACCAACGTGGCAAAACTCTGGCTACTGTTGACAAACCTTGCCTAACTTTGGCTGAGGCAGTAGCTTCTGTTGGTCCACTTTCGAGACGTGCACGATAATGTCAACGTCAGAATTAGGCTCACCGCAAGGCTCGAGCCTTGGTCTCGTTGGATGGTTTCCACTATCAGCCACCGGACAATATGTCTAAGGTCCATAAGTCTGTTGAAGGTCATTCAGCTGAAGTGCGTCAAAATGATGAACTTCGTTCCTGCATCCAATGGTACTCAAATGACAAACATCATCTTCAACACGAGACTCGTTTGAAACAACCATTGCAAGCTTGCCCTGCTGTTCGAGCTAGCCAGATTCAAGCTCATAGAAACAACAAGCCTTGCCCATGCATTCAAATATGCCCAACTGACAAACCTCATCTTCAACATGAGGCTCATACAAAACAACCAGAGCAAACTTGCCTTGCTGCTCAAAATAGCAAGACTCGGGCTCGACGAAGTGATGAACCTCATCAAAAAGACGAATATCATCTTCAACCTCGGACTACCATTGTCACAGAGAAACGTTTGAGGATCTAAGATGAAGTTCGGTACAAACAGCAAAGCCGTCCATGGAACCAAGTTCGTCTAGTCGACGAACCTCGCATCAAACACGAGGTTCGCCAAACCGCTCGAGCTCTTCGATCTCTAACACTTAGAGATTCTTGATCATGCACTCCCAAATTGCCAGAGCTAACTAGGGGTGGTCCTAGTACTAATCTCCATGACTATCTTGTCCGCAAACGTAGTATAAGCCAAATGCAGTGTCATTGTAACTGTGAGAGGCTCATCTCCGTAGTCCTTTCTTGATGCCAATGTGGAGGGCTGGTACCTAAGCCTTTAGTCTTCGAGCGATTGTCCGAACCTTTGATAGTTCCATCGCCTAGAAGAAGACGCTTTCATCCTAGGAAGCATGAACATGTGAAGGCGATGATTAACATGGCTAGCAAAGGCAAGGGTAAAACCCCAGCTGATTCTTCCAAGTCCTCTGATCCTGAATACTCTCCAGGACTAGGTGAAATGCTTATTGAGGGGCAAGGTGTCCATCGGCATACTAGTACTCATACCAGTGTGGTGATTCCATTGGATTATCAATGATTAGTAGGCATTACAGACGAGGCTAATGAAGAGCCTAAAAACTCAGCTGTTGCAACCTCTCAGCCTTCTAGTACCGATCAAAGTGAACAGACGAGTGCTCACATGGCCGAAAATGATGAAGACATGGCAAGGAGGTTGGAAGAGCAACAATCAACTATCCTCCAACAATAAGAGTCTATTAGGCACTTAGAAGAAATTGTGGACAAACTCCTTAAGGAGAAGAAGAAGACGAAATCTACCACCGAAGCATCAGGATCAAGGCACCGGCGACCTTCACCCAGTGCTCGGGAATCTAGCCGTTGAAACCAAGATGGCAATAATGAAGAGGATGAGGATGAAGAAATTTTCAAAATTCATTCTGAGTCGTCCGAAGCTGAGTCCAACCCTCATAAGAAAGAGTGAGACCAGAAGTTGGACGACTTTCAGAAGCAGCTTGATGTTTTGAAGCTTCAGAGAAACTTCAGAGAACTGGGGTGGTTAGACCGTACCCTGTTGAATGGGGTGCCATCCCTTATCCTCCAAAGTTCAAGCCACTCAACCTACTATAATTCGATGGCAAGGGTTCTCCTACCCAGCATGTTTACTACTTCCAGGCACAAACTGGACATATAATGGGGAATGATCCCATTATGATTCGACTGTTCATTAGCACCCTCAAAGGAGTCACTTTTGAATGGTTCCACAAGCTGGAACCAGGCTCCATCAAATCTTGGGCTGACATGGAAAGGCTCTTCATGGCCAGATTCTTCGATGATGACATAGAAGTATCCATTACTACCCTGCTAGCTGAAAAGCAGAAGAAGAAAGAGTCTGTCAGCAACTTTGTCAAGAGATTTAGAAACCAGTCACTGTATTGCCGTGATCAAATCTCTTAAAATACATTGATCGAGATGTGCTGTAGTAATCTCTCAATCCATATTTTGTCCAAGATTGGAGCAGTGGAGATCCAGACTTGGAAAGAACTTGTTCGCCAAGGTGAATGTAGGTGTCAAAAATTACCTATAGGTTCTCGCACGTAGTCCGAGATCGAAGGAGAGAGTTAGAGCTAAAATACCTGAGGTAGTACAAACTGGTTCGCACAGTGCCTAGCCACCATTTGGTGGCTCGCATAAATAACTAACATTTCGACCACGATGCAATTTGATTCTGGAGAAGCTCAAAGGACAAAAGTTGTAGTTCTTTTCATCAGATTTCCAACTCATCTTGAATCACCTTATTCTAAGATTGAACGAGAGAGTTAGAGACAAAATACCCAAAGAAATACAAATTGGCTCGCACAGTGTCGAGCCACCATTTGGTGGCTAGCACAAATAACTAACATTTCGGCCATGATTTGATTTGATTCTAGAGAAGATCAAAATACAAATGTTGTAGATCATTTCATCATCTTTCCAACGTATCTTGAATCACTTTATTCTGAGATCGGACGAGAGAGTTAGAGCCAAAATACTTGAGGAAGTATAAACTGGCTCGCACAGTGCCGAGCCAGGGGGGAGCCACAATTTGGTGGCTCTCACAAAGAACTAAGATTTGGGTTATGATACGATTT